GTCACCTGGTACTTCGTCACACTGTAGGATCCAGCGCTGTCTGATGCAACAACTACAAGGATGGCGGTCGGTCGGTCGGTCGGTGTTCGAACTCTAAAGATTTTTCCGTCGCGCCACGTACAATCGTTTAACATGTTTCCTACTGTCACACCAGTCTGTCTCTCGCTATAGCACCGCGCATACTCGTTGGGAGTTTTCCGGCAGCTGCACGGATTGAGCGCGGCACCGCTTCAAAACATGGCTCTCGCTTGGGACTTCTCTGCGTCCACAGTGGAGGCGCCGCGCCCTCTGTGCTTCATAGGGTGCCCCTCTGGACTGGACCTCTTTGGGTTCCTTCGGGCCCTCCAGGCATAGCTCCCAGACTGCTCCGCTGGTCTTCTTCGGGCTTTCCTTGTCCCCTTGGATGCTCCACGGACTGCTCCTTCGAATTTCCCGTGGTCCTCCTTGGAGGCGACCGCGCGGGCTGACGAGGCCGAGGCCGAGGCCGCCGGCCCGCCCCCGCCTCGGCGGCCGACAGGCCGCCGACGCCACCTCGCCGCCGATCGGCAGCCGAGGCGAATGACCGATGGACTTCGCCGACGAGGCGGACGACGCCGACGAGGCGGACGACGCCGACGAGGCGGACGACGCCGACGGCGGCGACGACGACGCCGACGCCGCCAATGCAGGCGACGCCGCGGACGACGTTGCCACGATCCTGGCAAGTACGAGCGTGGTATGATGAGAACAGCAAGCGCTCTCTTGATCAGCACTCCGAGGACAACGCCGACGACGCCGCCAGGCCGACGACCTTGACCTCGCCGTCGACGTCGACGTCGACGGACAGTTTCGTGGTGTGTCCCGACCAGAAGTTCGCGGCGGACCCAGTCGTTGCGACGAAAAGATTCCCAGAGGTCCCGAAAAGGCGAGAAACGCAGAAACCTTCGCGAAAACATCGATCCTCGACTGGCCAATCGATCGATCGATCGACGCCGACTCCCGCGACGCGGTCGCGCATGAGCGAAGCGGTGAAGAATCCACCCGCGCCGCCGACGCCGCCGACGACACCGCTCGCCGACAAAGACGCCGCCGACACCGATGCCGCGGACGCCGCTGCCGACGCCGCCGCTGACGTCGAGGATGCCGCCGCCGACGCCGCCCACGGGGACGCGGCCGCGCCGAGGAGCCGAGCGGGGGCGCTCCGGCGGAGAGCCCGCCCCAGCCAGGGGCCGCTGCGCCCGCCGCCGCGGCGGTGCCGCCCGCGGCGGAACCGCCGGCGGCGGAGGCCGCCTCGGACGAGGCCGCGGCTCTTCGGCCCTCGGCGGCCCGTGGCGGCCTTCGGCCGAAGGCCGCGGCGCTCCGTCGGCGCCGTCGCCGTCCGACGGCGACGGTGCCCGCGACCACGCCGACGCCGACGCCGACAGCGGCGAGGGGCTGCGTCGGCGGCGGTCGTCGTCGCCGTCGCCGCCAGACAAGGAGGTGGAGGCGTCGTCGGCGTGGGCCTCGCCGTCGTCGTCGTCGCCCCCAGGAGGAGGCCAGAGGAGGGCCAGGACCAGGAAAAGGGGGCGGGAGGAGGGGGCGGGAGGAGGGAGGGGAGGAGGAGGAACTGACTGTGAATTGGGGCGCGGGACTAAACCCAGTATGTACATGCCTGCAGGCCCCGCGTGGGTTCAAATGGAGGAAATGGAGAGGCCTATCTCCCATCCGCGGCGCGGCACAGGCGGGCTTGCGGCGCGCGTGGATCATGCCCGTTAGTTTGGTAGCTGGTAGCTGGATGAAAAGGAGGAGAGAAGAAGGAATGCGGGAAGCGGCAAGGAGCAGGGTAGTGTTTACGAACGCTCCCCTCGCTAGTTGAATATCCCTTGCCTCTTCCCTCCAAATCAGGGTTGGCAGGGCTAGATGATTGGAGAGGTTGATACATATCCGCAGCTATCTTTGTCTCGAAAAGAATCGCGCGCGCGGCCTTCCCCCAGTCCTCCTGGCTGGCCGGCCGGGCTGCGCACACACATATACATACATTGCTTAACGGGCCACAGTCCATGGTTAGAAGTTCGTTGTCAATCCGTCGGGCCTTTACGGCTTCCCTTGAGCAGTATGCACAATAATATAGCCACTGCTTGGGTTCATGATGCATCGGCAAAACATTGTGTCTATCAGCCGAAAATTCTTCCGCGAAATGAGAAGGCAGCGCCTCCCGGCGCGAACGTCCAGTGTTCGGAACTCCCGCACAAAGACACGGTTGAAAGGAGGCGAGCAACATCGCCTTGGTAACCCCTGACACTGTCAGGTGCCCTGGCTCAAGCTTTTCGCAAAACGTCAGCGTCAATATCCCTATGACAGTTGCCGATTCCGACGACGATCCTGAGCCGGGTCGGCTGGACACGCCCAGGGCGGGCGACGACCTGATCGACGATGACGGCGAGTGGCGCGGCTCAAGCCGAGGTGGGCCACGACTGCCGCCCGGCGTCGAACAGTCCTACAAGGCGCCATCCGACGCCGCAGATGGAATGGTCAACGGCGCCTCTCCCATCGCAATCTCGTCGGGAGGCGGGGGATCGACGAGGTCGCCCCTCGCTCGATGCCCGTCGCGGACCCTGCTCGTCGATCCAGGGGGGCGCTCCAGGGCCCGTGGCCCTGGAGATTCACCCATGCCAACTCAGGGAATATCGCCGGAATCGGAGCCCATGCGCGATGGGTGCTCTCACCCTCTGATCGATTCGCTCGGCGATCCGCTTGCTCCGCGTGCGCTTGCGATCCGAACGATCTTGGGTCGGGGGGTCGCCCCAGGGGCAGTGCCCTCGGGAGGGGCCCCTCGCCGTCTGACCCGATGGGGTCAGAGCGCGTCGGGCGGCCCGCGCAGGGCGCTGAAAGGCGGCGGCCGCCGCGCGCTGCCTCTGGCGTCTCGTCGGCGTCAGCCCGCGCGGAACGCTGGAACGCGTCGAACTAGATCGCATCGACGACGCCCGCGCCAATCGCAGTCCTGGCTACGCGGAACGCCCCGAGAAGCGATGCCTCGGCAACCGAGGGCAATGCCAGAATGACGTTCGCGGAGCTTGCTCAATGATGAGCTCGCGCAGCAACCCGTTGTATTCGCGTCCTGATTGTCAGCCACCTTTCGCGCGCAACTGCCCCACCCGCCGGCGCTTCGAGATGGGGGGGGGGGCCCGCGAGAAGAAGCGGGGCGCTATGTTGACTAGGCGAGACGGGGGGGGGCGCGAACGATGGGGCGGATCATGGCAGCGGAATTCCACCAGAGGGCTGTTGCCCAGGTTCAGGCAGAGAGCGACCGTCTTGCCGCTATCCGCGCCGTCGAACAGGCAGAAGAGAAGCGGCGCGTCCTCGCCTCGGAACGGGCCGCGCGAGCCAACGCGGAGCTCCGGGAGATGGCCGACCGATTTGAGGCTTCGGCGACGGCCGAGAGGGCGGCGCAGGCCATGGAAAACGACGTGGCCGAGAAAGCGACAGTTGCAAACCGGGGGCAGGTCGGCGTCAGCCAACTGCCGCCTCGACGCGGGCTCGCGAATCGAAGGCCGCCGAAGCGCGCGGCGCCGCCTTGGAATCGGAGGCAAACGCCGCGGTCCAGACGGCCATGGCCGATCGGCGGGCGGCCGTGGAAGCGGCCGAACGGGCGTCGTTCGAAGGCGCCGCGGTGGCGCAGCGGGCGCAGAGCGAAGCTGGTGACTCTCGTCCGCGAGCGCAGACGATCGCCTTGGAAACGAGTGCGACCTGCGCTCGAGCCAACGGCGAGGCTCGCGACGCCTTAGCAAATACCTAAATGATGGAGCTGGAAGCGAGCGACATGGAGAACGCTGCGCCCCGCCGCACGGAGCTACACGCATCGCGATCCATCAAAAATCGGGGGGCTCAGCGCGAGCAGCGGCACTGGGTGCAGGCTGGGCGCCATATTCGCAGCGGCGTGCGTGAGCACGCCTCTCAAGTTAACGCCGCAGCGGCAAAGGTCGCCGCGGCCGGGGCGCCCCCTGCCGGGGGCGAGGTCGCCGAGGGGGCGGGCGCGTTGTGGCGCTCCTCGTGCAGCGGGCCAGCGGAACGCGATCGTGGGCAGCGCTCGAGCGCGTTCTGTAGTGAACACTTCGACTGCGAGGAAAACCGACGCGTTGCCCGCGCTTCGACGTCGGCAGAGGGGGCGAGAAGTCAAGGATAATCGAAAGGAAAAACTAGCAGGAGCAGTATTGCACTCGAGCGAATTGCTGCCCGGACTCCGCCCGGCGCCGGGCCGTTCGACTGCCCGCCGCCGCCCGGGTCGCCCGGCGGCCGCGCCGCGAGCGATTCCGAGCGCGCGGCGGAGCAGGGGGTCGAATGCGAAGCGGCCAAGCGTCTGCGGGCGTTCGAGGATCCCACCATGGCCGAGCAACGAAAGATGGCTACGGTGCTTCGAGAGGCCACGCGAAAGATGGGCCGTCGCGCTGGTGATAACGCCAGCAAGCGGGAATTGCGCGCGGAGGTAGGGGCCCCCGCTGAAGCGGCATCTGGAGGAAAAAGAGAATGCCGTAGAGGAAGCGGAGCGACGCTCGAAGAAGGACAAGAATTTCGACGACGCTCGGGCGGCGCCGATGACCATTTTCCCTGGACATAAGTCTCCGAACCCGAACGTGGCAGCGCCTTTCGGGGCGAGGAGTCAGACGACTCTGAATTTAAGGACGCCGCGCCCGCAAGGCGAAATAAGGGCCCTGGCCTTCGTGGCGACGGCGGAGGCGACTCCGACGACGATTGGGGCGACGACCCCAGCGGACTCGGCCCGGGCGATGATGGGGGCGAGTCATCAGACGAAGGGAACAGGCATGTCAGAGGCAAGCGTCGTCGCCGTTGCGCGCCGATTCTTGGCAGGCCACCCCTAGGTGGCGGCAGGGTCGGGCCCCTCCCAGACGGTGCTCCGGGAACGGCCGCGCGATGGGGCGACGCTAGCAACGCCGAAAGAGTCAATGTAGAAACCATACTCGACGCAGGCGCCGAGAGGAGGTGGAACAGAAACGCGGCGAGAAACATTTTCCCTTACCCCCCGCAATGGCAGGCGGCCACCCCGCGGGTTCTCGGGGCTTTTGACCTGGCCGACGTCCGGGCCGCAGAATGTAACGACCCCGGGGAGTTCGGAAGGCTCGACCCAATGCTAGCGTCGGACCTATAATTGGTTTAGTCAACGAGATCTCCAGGGGTCGCCCCCTCAGACGCGGCACTTGGCGCGATTAATCAAATTTGCTCGACGCCCCGATGATGAAAAAGTCGAACATGTTCGCGGGTCGCGCCATTCTGCGCATCGTGACCGTGCACCTGACCACCCGACAGGACCATGGTCAAGTGCGTGCGTGCCAGGACCCGATGGGCCACAATATCCGCGGTTCGGGTACGGAGGCAGATGTGGACTTGTGCAATTTGCGCGACGAGTGGATGACAATCATGAATGAGATGCCCCGCAAATCGTTCCGCCCGTCCATCTGGGAGCACTTATATCATGAAATGAAGAAGTGCCCCTGCATGACTCTCATTCTAGCAACGTGCGATCATGGCAGCGATGCGCGCGGAAAAGGGATGAGATCTTACGAATGGTTGATTGCGCAGATCAGTAGGCGCGCGCAGACGGGCCGAGGCCCCCGCGACCGCGCCGCACGTCGAAAAAAGCTGAACACCCGCGGCCTTTCAGCAGGAGGCGCGGGCGGTGGGCGGGGGCCGTGGCAGCGGCGGCAACGGCGGAGGACAGGATTCACTCCGCGCGAAAGATGGGCGCCTCAAGAGAGAGGTGGATCACGGGGAGCACGCGCAGGGGGGGCGCCCCTAAATATTCGCGCGACAGTTGGGGCGCATCTCTAGCACCCCCCGGCGCCGCCGCGGGCGGCAAGGGCGGCGGGGGGGTTGGGGGCAACGAGGCGATGGGACAGCCGAAAACACAGGATTAAGCTAAATGTGGGGAAGATCGGCAGGGGCCAAGATCGAAGTGGCCGCCCGCGATCCAAAGCAAAGCGTCAAGCGCAACCTTCTCGAAACATTGAGTTATGCCTTCAGCCGCGGCGCCTGTTCGCTCTCCCAGGCGCAGTGGCCCGCCGGCGCCGCGAGGCGACGAGCGTCGAGAAACTTGCTCGCGACAGATGGGCGGCCAAGATGGAGAAGGGCGGCAAGAAGAACCCCTGCAGCAAAAGCCCCGACCAGATCTCCGCCGTCGCCCAAAATGCGAAAAAATGTTGCACCGGGCGGGCAGGGCGGGGGCGCGCCCTTAGAAAACAAGGGAAAGGCCAAAAGGAAGGGGCAAAAGCAAAGAGAAGCGTCAGTGCTGGAGGCATCTATCGGGGCTAACTTGCCCCTTTGGCAGGGAGTGCTGGGACAGGGCGAACGCCCCTGGGCATCCGCGACGAGGGAGTTCGGCGTTCGGCGACCGCGTCGCCGACGCCGACCAGGACGGGCGACGCTTGCTGAGCCAGCCCGGCCCGCGGGGACGACGCGGCGCAATGCGCCTCCCCCGCAGTTTTCCGCGCCGGATCAGGGCCCCGCGCGTCGCCGCCGGATTTGATGGCTGGCTCGGACAGCCCAGCGAGGACAGCGACCTTAGCTGTCGTTCGACGGGGGTCAGTCGGGCGGCCCCCGCGCCGGGGCGAGACAGGGCGATCATCGACCCGCTCGCTCGGCTGCTGCGGCGCCTCCAGGCCGGACGAATTACGGCGCCCCGGCGGGCCGCTCGTGATGCGTCGCGGAGCGGAACGCCGGGGCGAAGCATCCTCTGCAAGCGAGTAGGGGCGAGCCGAAGAACCGCGCCGGTTGGCGCGGTCGCGTGCGCATCGATCCCTCTACTTCTGCCCCGAGCGGGCGGCTGCTGCGCGCTCCTCGGAAGGGGGACTCGCGGGCGTTGAAGACATCGCCTGGGGGCGCCTCCGGTCTGGGATCTCAATGTAAGAGAGCAGAATATCGAAGTGCACCAGAGGCTGGCATGTGACGAGGCAGCCAATTCAGAGAAGGAGGTCTGGCGCCTGCGGGCCGACTGGGAGCAGATCTCAGACCGAGATTTCACCGACGTCAGCCGCGGACCGGACGGCGACCGCGTCGCCGCGCCTGCGAGAAAGGCTTCGAAAACCAAGGGAGCAAAGAGGGCAGACCAAGTGCGGCTGGGGTTAGTGAGGCTCGCGGTCGATACCAGGCGCGGGTCTGACCTGGTTGCTGTTAAACTGTTGTACGCGATGCGGAAATGATGAGCATAATCGCTCCTTTGATTGCGCCCATTACCCCGAACGCGGCTGGCGGGCAATCGCGAGCCCTCGGCGCAGCGGGGATCGCCAGAAGCTGTGCGGGGGGGGATGTAGAGGCTATTCTCGTGCCAGAGACTCCGAGCGCGATAGTGGTAGGTGAGCTCTGTATAGACCACGGCTACAGTTTAAATTGGAAGGCCAGCGGAGCCCCACATCTACTGCCGCCAAATGGTGGGCGATTTGACCTGACTGGATGGCAAGATTCCGCATCTCACCATCAAGGGCACAGGGGCCTTGGATTAGGTAGACGATGCAGTTCCCGGCAGCCCCGCAG